GGGGGGGGGGGGACCAGGAACGGGATTTGCCTACACCTTCGTTGTATCTTGGGAACATTTTTTATTTAATTGCTGATGCTCTAAACTTCAGAATTCTGTATATTCAAATTTGACTGTGGCGAATCTACTTCAAAAGGAAGAGAAATAATCCAACGTTGTGGATATTCAACGGGAGATTTGCTGTATTGATCTAGTTGTTTTCCAGTGGAGCAGTTTATGAAATATGTTCTATAAGATGTACATTTTTTCATTGTAACATAGAAATTGTAAATAATCGATTAAAGTGCTGCATTTTGATGAATTTTTTCTAGCCATTTTTAAAGAGAAAACTAGGAATTGAGTATTTTGTGTACGGTATGTTTCCGTCCTCCCTCCCTCCCTCCTCCCCTCCCTCGCTCCCTATTTAATTTTCATTTGTCATGAGGTTTTTGGATTTGCCAGTGATCTGCTGGAGATCATGCCCCACGTCATGGAGAATAAAGCTGATGATTGTACCAGTCTTAAATTATTCATGATTCAATAAAATTGATGCTTATTTATTCAGATTAGTGGTTTGGCTTTTCTGTGCTAGAGCAAGTCCTCCTGGGAGTTCAGTTTCATGCCAAGAGGAAGTCATTCTTATTCAGATGCAACAAACACAGGGAGAGCCCACAACATTTGCAGACCCACCCTTGCCACGACGTCATCAACATCCTACATCCTCTCAGTTTCTCGTCTCAGTTACTGCTACTCACGGGGATCTTGTAGAAACACAGATTCTGAGTGAGCATGTCCAGGGTGGGCCCGAGACGCAAGCTCCCAGGCGATGCCCGTGCTCTGAGCCCTAGACCACACTAACAAGCAGCATCAGTATCCCGCCAGCCCACTCTTTGACTCCTTGGCACAAGAAAGACTTTTTTAAAAATGTATTGAGTACCTACTAATTGCCAAATGCTTCCCAAACCCCCCAATACAATCTGTAAAATGACCCTGGGGAGGTAAATATTCTTATTCCTATTTTACAGGAGAAAAGAAAACAGGCTCAGAGAAAACAACTTATCCAGGATCCTATAAGGGAAGAGGTAAGATTTGGAGTTCCAACCCAAATCCTGCCTCACTGGGCAGCTTCTAAACTCGGAGCCCAGTTCCATGTTGCTGTTGACATCCATTGAAGAGAGAGTGTAGGCAGTGGGAGATTACCTTACATCTTAGCATTTACTTCTAACAGCAGCAACAAGAATTGTCGAGGTTTGGTTCGAAGGGAGGTCTGTGGGTTCCCAGTGAAATGGATCCTACACAGCTGGCTCAACTGCTAATGACGTGTGATATCTAACTCATCATAATGCACAGCAGTGGCAACCAGGGGGAGAGAAAGAATCCAGATGGTCAGCGCAGGCAGTTTTAATGCCTGTCAAAAAAAAATGAAGGGGAGCTTGTGCAATGTCGGCAACAAGATGTCCTGAATTTCTAAGATTTTCCATAGCATGTTCTACCCCATTGCTACACAATATATTCTGATGGCATCTATGAAATACGAGCAGTTTATGTAAAGGGCATGATAGGACTTTTATAAAAGAAGGGAACTGTGCATATAGAGACCTACTGTGTGCCAACCACTGTACTGAGAATTTCACCCTATCACACGGAATCACAGCACCTCTAAGAAGGGATGTTATCTCCATTTTCCAGGAGAAGACTGGACGACTAATAGTAAATGAGTCATATTGTAGGAGTGGACTTCTCAAATAACTCATATGGTAGGAGTGGACTTCTCGGTCTACCTGATTCTGGAACCTGTGCCCTTTCTGCCACATGATGCTCTGAACATCACCGTAGGTGGGTTGTTGCGGGGAGGATTACACATCCCTTCCACACTGGTTGTGTAACTAGTTCCCCCAGAAACTTAGCAGCCTAAAGCAACAAACATTTTCTCAGTCTGTGTGGATTGGGAGTCCAGCGTGGCCTAGCTGGGTCTCATAGGCTGCAGTCAACATGTCTTCAATATTTACAAGGAACATTTAAAAGCAAGAACTATATTAAACAATATTTAATGGTAAAATGTTGAATATTTTTTTCTTTCTGATTAGGAAACAGGTAAGGATGCCTCCTCTCATCACATAACTTCACTGTCGTGTAGAGACCCTAGACTAGTGGTTCTCCACCTTCTGGCCTTTTAAATACAGTTCCTCATGTAGTAACCCAATCATAAAATTATTTTCGTTGCTACTTTATAACTGAAATGTTGCTGCTGTTATGAATTGTAATGTAAATATCTGATATGCAGGGTGGTCTTAGGCTTCCCCTATGAAAGGGTCATTTGACTGCCAAAGGGGTCGCGACCCACAGGTTGAGAACCACTGCCCTAGACGGTGCAAAGAAGCAAGAGGAAAAAATCATGAGGATTGGAAAGGAGGCAATTAGACTGTCTTTCTTCACATGTGCTTAGGTAATCCAAAAGAATTAAAAATAACAAGTTGGATAAATGTGTTGGATATAAAAGCAGTACACAAAAATCAGTTGAACATCTATATGAGCCAAAAGTTTAAAAAATTAAAAAGTTCCAATCTAAGAGCA